CAACACCAGTGATGACAAGATGATGATATGGAATATGGTCTCTGAACTGGCGATTTTGTAGTTTCGTTCGTTAAAGTCAAGAGTAGGGGGGTGTCCCCACCCCCCCTGACCTAATAAAACTATGGAGGTGGGGGGATCAGGGGGGCATGCCCCCCTGAATTTGATCCTAATTTGATGTTTTGCAGTTAGGTTGCATCCCTGCTCTTTGTGTAGCCTATTTCAAATAGTATTTGGTCATCAAGACTTCTGGATTTCTTCTCTGGATATAAACAAAAGGATCGTGGACTTAAACGAACGGAATTACAAGATCATTCATGTTTTAAAACCATTCACCAGCTTCTAACCTCCTTGTTATAATTTTTATTTTGTTGGATATAACAGCTGTCCCGACTTGAATAATCAATATGTTATTTCATCAAGCGTTCTCTGTCCTACTTCCAGCTGTTAAACTTTAACTTTCGTTGCGCCTTTTTCGAGGTTTTAGTGCGGGTTTTACGGCACTTGTAAAACAATTAGGTCATATTATAAGGGCTGAAGATAAGAGAAGTCACAAGAGAGTAACATAAGCAGAAAAAAGCAGGAAAGATAAGAACGATGGATGTTTGACAGGAAAGACGGAGCAAACCACACTAGAGCACCTGTCAACCACAGCTACTGCATTTTTCTCGGTAGACTTAACTTCTACGTCGGCATGAACGCCTTTATGTGTATGTAAGCAAAGCATGCAGTTAAGCGACTGGAGGTTTTAAACTCCAAACAACTGAATAATTTATAAACGAATACATTTTAAAGAATCTGCTTTTGTTTACAGGCAACAGGTTGCTGTTTGAATTAACAGCGACGACTTCCTGGTGCAAAAGAGTTATGCAAAAAAGCAACGTACGTTCAGAAAAGGACCAAATACTATTTGAATTAGGCTACACAAAGAGCAGGAATGCAACCTAACTGCAAAACATCAAATTAGGATAAGCCCCCCTGAAAACCCCTACTCTTGACTTTAACGAACGAAACTACAAAATCGCCCATCATTGTGTTGCTTGAAGAAGTTTGAAATGTATGTAATCATTCTTTTAAATGACTGGGGTTTTTGTTTCATCTGTACAGTTCAGACGACCGTCTACTAATTTCTCCATTTATGATATCCCATGAACAAGTTTCAGCCCACACACACAAAACATCTTCATTTCTTAAAAGAAAGTTTTTGCACATTTCCTCGAAATCACTCCCAAGTGACTTAACCTTGGTGTTGTTCTAGCTTCTCGTTATTACATAGCTAGGTATTAGATTCTATGTATTGGTACATGCGCTCAGGTGTGTGTGTGTGTGTGTGTGTGTGTGTGTGTGTGTGTGTGTGTATATGTGTATGTGTGTGTGTATGTATGTGTGTGAGTGTGAGTGAGTGAGTGTGTGTGTGTGTGTGTGTGTGTGTGTGTGTGTGTGTGTGTGTGTGTGTGTATGCGTGTGTGTGTATGTGTAGGTAGCTTATGTGTGTAGGTATGTTTAAGTGTGGGTTTCTTGGAATTACTCCTCATCTCTCGCTTTCTTTATACCTTTACTCCACACAGAACATAATAATATTATCCCTTTACTAGAGATTCTAGTCTAGTGCACCATTAAGTTTTCTTGGTAAGTTGCTGTCCCCTACTGTCATGTTGACGTACGGTGTTTTATAACAGTCAGACAAACCCAAACAGATAGATCAAGCAAGCAAGCAAACAACCATATAAACAAAGAACTAAAGTAGTCAGACAAATAAGGCTTAGAAATAAATACCCGCCCCCCTCCCCCCCAACCCCCCCCAACAAAAGCAACAACACAACGCTGTATATTTTCTGAGTTTGGCGAGAACAATCTTAGTTCTATTAGTTTCTTTCCAAAACTCACCTCAATATCGGGTAGATCTCGGCTGAGGTTTGTATAAGCCATGATGAACACACCAAGTTCAGAAACACATATACACACACGCAATGAACTGAAGCTGTTCACACAGCCCCTGCGTAGAAATGATAACGGTCACCAGTCACCAGCACCTTCGCAAACACCAGTGAGTTTCCCCCTGCTGGCACTTCTTTGCTTGTCACTTGTCAACGGGTCAGGGCCGACCTAACCGCTGGTTAAATAATTGCCGCAAGGCTCTCTCTCTCTCTCTCTCGCTTTCTCTCTTTGTTGCTCTCTCTCTCTCTCTCTCTCTCTCTCTCTCTCTCTCTCTCGCTCTCGCTCTCTCGCTCTCGCTCTCTCGCTCTCGCTCTCTCGCTCTCGCTCTCGCTCTCGCTCTCGCTCTCGCTCTCTCGTTTTATCTCTGTGTCTCTTTGTCTCCCCCCCTCTCTCTTTGTCTCGCTTTCTCTCCCTGTCTGTCTTTCATTTTGTCTCTCTCGGTCTCTCTTTCTGTGCCTCTCTCTGTGTCACTATATCCCCCCCCTCCCTTTTCTCTGCCCTCCCCCATCTCTTTCGGACCCCTTGCCACTGCGGAAACCTTCTCTAGACCTAGTGATAAATAGCCAGGGAGTGAAAAATGACATCCGCGCTCCACAGGTTTGTTTACACATAGACGTGAGACCAACATCACCAGCCAGCGGAATGAGAACATCTTAGTAGACCAAATGAGGGAATAACATTGTGAGAAGAGTGCGTACCCAAACGACTACAATTATTAGATCTAGATCTAATACCAACAGCAAAACATAGTGCGGTTTCATATGGTTTTCACGCCTTCTTTAATCCAACAATGTCAATTCGATAACAAGTCAGCAGAGACAGCCCATAGTTGAAAGCAAGAAAGAGGGACAGACAACGAGAGAGGACTATTTATTATTATATCCCGTAGGATTACATGAAAATAGCATTATTTTAGCGAAGCATGCGCCTCTCCACTTTCTACTGAGCAGGGGTTGCCTACGCCCTGCAGTTTTGAAGCAGCCCGCTTTCTAATTAATAGGTGGTGTTAAAGGGGTCGAAAACATTTACAAAAACGTAAAGCCTTTCACGGTGGTTGTTTTAGCTGCAATTTAAATGCAGAATGGAAAACAGAGCACTCTCGAATGTGGATTAGACATTCAGACGTAGTGAAACATTCTAGGATTTGACAGCACGATAAGATAATAATATGTCGAAGCAAATCCCCGCTGTCTTAAACACGTTCAGTACAACGTACTTATTCTGCACGATCTGTGATATCAGTGACCTACTGCAATGTCAACTTGAAGAAGCCCATTGTTAAAATTTTCTTGCTGAGTCTTAACTTTTTTGTGTCATAATAATATCGTAGCGCTTGGTAGAAGTGTGACATAGAAATGGACAGTGTTATTTAAATAATAACCGTATACGGGCAGAATGAGTTTATAACGTAATTCTTAATCGGAGAATTTCGTATACGACGATGATTATGCGGGCTATTCTTAGAGAAAACGCACACAGATATACACACAGACACACACACATACACACACATGCACACACACGTGCAGGTACACAGTTGGTGGTAAATTGCTTCAACAGACAACATGTACAGGGTGATCCAAAAAAGCAGCAAAACAACTGTACAACTTTCTAAAAAACATATTTTCCTCCGCACAAAAGTTTTGTGTTTCAAATTTGTGCTCAACATTTGGAAGTCAAATGGAATTTGTCTGATATTCATTTTAGATAAATCCACAGAATAGTTTTGCTCTATATAGCGCGTAGAAAAACAACCCATTTTCAGCGATGTCCCCATTTTTGTAGCTTGACGCATAGTTCGCATTAGGCCTACCACTAAAAATCCCAACGGCTGCGCCATATTGCAAACTACAGTAGTCTAATAGGCCAACAGAAGTTTGCAGATAGTTTTTCTCAAATTTCCTTTGCCTGCTGAGATCATGGTTAAGATTAATAAAGAGCAGAGATCTTTTTGTATTGAACATTTCCTCACCACCAATCGATTTCGTAAGTTTAGCACAAGGTACAGAAATAATGTTAAAATGCCCTTAAGTCCTTCTTTGATGTCAAGGGTGGAAATGGTCCACCAGCTAGGACCTGTAGAAAATCAGAACTAAAAATTCCCAGACAAAACGATCTCTTCAGGTCAAACACACACCGTTCACACCCCTTTAAATCTCATCAGGGTGCAGAATTCAGTAGATGAGCCCCACGAGACGTCTGTCCGTAGACGGTGTCTCCAGCAATGACTTTCATAATTCTCAACGGTCCGCATTCTCAAGGCAGATCTTCATCTACTTCTGTACCATTTTCCAGTCCGCGAAGCTGTCATAGGATAGCAATGTGTACATGATTCCTCGACCGTCCTGAAAACGTGCAACATTTTCTTTATGACATTTGGTTCCTAGGCCGAGCCCATATTCACCTTTCAGGTTATATCAACTTCACAAATGCTGTCCATTTGGGCAACCTCACCGCCCCCCCCACCCCCCATTGTCTCTAGAAACAGCTCCATACTGTAAGGTGTACATTGTGTGTGGCTTTAAGTTCTAATGATTGAGTGGATCCTTGTGTTTGGCCATCACTGAACATTACGAACGACACGTTAAACAATGTGTCGAGTCCAAAGGAGGACATACAGACCATTAGATCTAGATCTAGTTCTCGGAATTCCAGAATTAAAAAAAAATAAAATTTTTCCTCTGCGGAAGAAAAATATATTGTTTAAAGGTTACAGAGATGGAAAGATTAGATTAAAAAAAAAAAACAAGAAAAGAAAAAAAACAACAACAACAACAAACCCTTCATTACATGACTTTCCTTACAAGATCTACTGAATTGGTGCATTTCGCATTTATAGATGGTTTTTATTAAAGCCATTTCCGTTTTCGAAAATAAGTTTCTTCTTTGTGAATTTTAGGTCAAACAACATCCTTTTGAATGAATTATATCTGTTCCAAATTACAACATTCTAGTACAAATTTTGTTCGAGATATTTAGAAAAAAAGTTGTACAGTTTTTTTTTTATCACCCTGTACTTTACTTTTACATTTTCATCCTCTGTTGTCGTTAAGCATCGAGGGGAGATGCTTTGTTTTTTTTATCCTCAGTTGTCTAAATGCGTCGAGGGGAGATGCAGTTTTTCTAGGGTAGGCCAACTCTTCGGCTCTTTCAGTGGGTAAATTATTATTTCTCAGGGTTCCCTTGACTCCCTCAATCCATCTTTTGTGCGGCCCACTTCTTCCTACATTGCCTGAGTACTTGGTATTATAGGCTTTTGAGGTTGTCTGGCAAGGACTGTGACATTCGTAACAGGTGGCCAAACCATTAAATTTTATATTCTGTCTTTACATGACTTGCAGTTGCCAATAGTTGCTCTTACTTCCTCATTGCTCTGTCTTTTTTGTGATGTTAAGGGTTTTGTTAACAGCCCAATGGTGATCTGGTCAACAACAGGCCTTTTCTAACCCTGCCCCTTTCTAGTCAGTCGATGACAGGGCCTCGTAAGTGTAGTAATTGTCACACTGCTCTCTCTCTCTCTCTCTCTCTCTCTCTCTCTCTCTCTCTCTCTCTCTCTCTCTCTCTCTCTCTCTCTCTCTCTGTC